AAGATCAGTAATTTAATGACACAATCTGATCAAAGATCAGTAATTTAGTGACACAATCTCATCAAAGATCAGTAATTTAATGACACAATCTGATCAAAGATCAGTAATTTAATGACACAGTCTGATCAAAGATCAGTAATTTAATGACACAATCTGATCAAAGATCAGTAATTTAATGACACAATCTGATCAAAGATCAATAATTTAATGACACAGTCTGATCAAAGATCAGTAATTTAATGACACAATCTGATCATAGAGCAGTAATTTGACACAATCTGATCATAGAGCAGTAATTTGACACAATCTGATCATAGATCAGTAATTTAATGACACAATCAGATAATTTGTGAAACTTTCATTAGTGTAATAAATTAAGAGCTAAATAAAAAAATCTCATTATGCTTCTAATTTTCTTCAGCACGCGCTCTATTTTTGTCTTTTACTAGCTGTTAACTAGTTTTTTATTACTTCTAGTTTTTAGCTTCAGTTCTGCTAATTTAACCATCTAGCTACCACTTTAGCTGCTTTTCACTTTTACCAGCCAAATACCACTTTAAGCTTTTATCTAGTCTTTTATTACTTTTAGCTTCCCTTTTGCTACTTTAGCTTTTATCTAGTCTTTAGCTACTTTTAGCTTACCTTTTGCTACTTTAGCTTTTTTCTAGTCTTTAGCTACTTTTAGCTGACCTTTTGCTACTTTAGCTTTTATCTAGTCTTTTATTACTTTTAACTTCCCTTTTGCTACTTTAGCTTTTATCTAGTCTTTAGCTACTTTTAGCTTACCTTTTGCTGCTTTTAAGTAGTCTTGCTACTTTTAGATGCTGACTACTTTTTTCCCATTATTTTTAGCAACCATTTTCTTCCTTTAGCTAGCCTTGTGCTGCATCTAGCTCGTAGCTAGTTATTTTATTTTTTTTTACTTTTAGCTCGTGTTTAGCTGGTCAATTTATTGGTAAAGCTGTTTTTGTACAGTGCCCTGAGACAACTTCTTTTGTGACTTGGAGCTATATAAATAAATAAACTGGACTGAAGCACTTACATTACCCCCCCCACCCCCACCCCCCACCCTCATTCACCCCACTTTGGGCCCTTGAGCAAGGCTCCTGACCCCCCATCTGCTGCTCTGGGCACCGTAGATGCAGCCCCAGTTTATAGCTCACTGCTCTGTGGTTGCAACGAGAAGGGGGCCCACTGTGGTGACCCCTGAGAAAAATGAGCAGCTGAAAGGAAAAGAAAGAAGCTAGTTTTTTATCTACTTTTAGCTTTCAGCTAGTGTTTATCTATTTTAGCTTTCAGCTAGTGT